TGAACCAGTAGGAGAACCAAGCAACACTATGTAAACGACACCTGCACATAAAAAATAAATACTTGCAACCCGATGTGAAAAAGAGGTTGTCAATCCCTTTAAGATAAGGGTAAATACGCGAGGGGAAAAGCTTCATGTGAGCCAATCGTGTGAGAGCTATGTATTGCTTACAACGAGACGATAGTTGGTCTCGTCCGAAAATGAATTTTGCTATTGCGGCCGGCCTATTTTTTTCTCCTCCCGACCTTGAATGGATCGAGCTCTCTCCTACTTGCTCGCTCCAGCATCGATTCGGCCCTGTGTTATTCCATCTTTTTAAATATTTTTATTTTGTTTTTCTCTACGGCTTTTCATAGGTTTTATCTTTTTCTTTGTTATTTCACCAGTTTTTAATTTTTTTACATGATTCTTACATGTCTTGTTTGCCTCTACAGTCTCTACAGTAGTAAATGCATACTCGCTGATATCAGACGGGAAATTATGTGCATGTTTGATATTAGGCAAAAAATATATTGCACGTAAACATTAGCTACTAGGATATTAGATATGTGTCATTATGTGGATTGTCTACATTTGGTATGTTGTTAATTGTATGTTAAACATGTTGAGCGCTCGCCGTTTGGTATGTCTAATTTTTTAATAAACGTTCTACATTTTGGTATACATAAAAAAATCTACATGTTTAGTATTATTTTAAATATTATTAAGATTTATTAAATTCTTGATTACCATTTTAGAAATACATTATTAATTTATTTCATACACATTATGTTTTTAATACATTCTTTGTATACATGAGAAACAGTTTTTCTATACACATTTAACATTTAACATCCACAAAAAAACGTTTTTCAAATGCTTGATTAACATTTTTAAATTGTTTTATGTAGATTGTTTCTTGTGATATATTTATTTTCATTCTTTGGAAGGATAAACAAAAGTGAAAAGAGGAAAAAACAAAATCATAAAAAAAGAGGCGGTGGCCTCCCGTGCGCATGGATCGGCCCACCTCGTGTGCCGCCTTCAGGCGAGACTTCCTGCCAGCTCCTATGTGGCGGAAAAACCTATTTGCCGCTCTCTGCGGCAAACAGTCCGGGTACCGCACAGGCGCGATCGACGAGCGCTCAGGATGGGCCGGCCTGTTAACGTTACAACTGGTTTTGCGAACCTTCTATGAAAGTTACTTGCCGGTTTTTTCCGGTTTCGGGAACCTTGTAGAAGGTTCCTGGACCGGTTTTTTCTTTTTATATTTATTTTTTAGCTTTTCTTTTTGATTAATCTTTTCTTTTTTGTTTTTCTCTAGCTTATTTCTGTTTTTTTCTATTTTCTTTCTTCTTGCCCTTCATTTTTTATAATTTTTTTTCTATTTTCAAGGAATAGTTCAGAATTTTTCAAAAGGGAAATTTCAGATTTTTTTTCATCATTGTTTAGAAAACGTTCCTGTTTTCAAATTTTTGTTAAGAAATTTCATAAAAGTTTAGAATCTCAAAAATTGTTTGCTTATTATAAATTAATTCAAAATTTCAAAAAGTAATTGTATTTTCAAATTTTGTTCACAAACTAAAAATTGTTCGGTATTTTTGAAGTATGTTCCTGTTTTCAAAATTCGTTTAAAAATTCAAAATATATTTATGTTTCCATATTTGTTCACGGATTTAAAAAATGTCCACGTTTTCAAATTTTGTTCAAGAATTAGAAATTGCTCAGAAGTTTGTAAAAGTGTTCCCATTTTTAAAAAATGTTCACAAAATTCCAAAAATGTTCCCTTTTTCAAAATTTGTTCTCAAGTTCAGAAAACTTTCAAAATTCTGAGTTTTCAGAAAATGTTCTCAAGTTTTCAGAAAATATTCCTGTTTCCAAAATTTGTTCTCAAGTTTTCAGAAAATGTTCCTGTTTCCAAAATTGTTCACAAATTCAAAAAATGTTCCTGTTTTCATTTTTTTTTGCAAATTCAGAAAACTTTCAAAATTTTCAATTTTGCTGACATATTAAGAAAACTAAGAATTTTAGAAAAATGTTCCTGTTTTCCAACAAACATGTCCAATTCAATAAATGGTCATTTTTCAAAAAGTTGTTCAAAAAATTTGAAAAATGTTCCTGTTTTCAAAATTTGTTTACAACTTAGGAATAATTTCACATTTTTCAGTTTTCTTCACATATTAAGAAAATCTGGGAATTTTAGAAAATGTTCCTGTTTTCCAAATTTGTCCACCAATTCAATAAATGTTCATTTTTCGAAAATTGTTCACAAATTATGATATGTTTGGGTATTTCAGGGATGTTCCAATTTCAAAAAAAAAATCCGAAATTCAGAAATGTTTCTGTTTTTGGAAATGTTTTCGTTTGTTAAAAACTCTTTTACAAAGTTGAGGAGTGTTTGTGTTTCATAAAACACTCAGGTTTTTTTCAAAAAAAGCGTTCAGAATTCTTAAAATATGTCGGATCTGGGCATATGTTGCTTCTTAACGATTTACATTGCCTTATGTTCATTAACCCGTAGTAGCTCGACCGGTTGTATTTCGTGGTCTGTTGGTTGAGATCCTGTGTTCGATCCCTGCTGAACGCGGCGGCGCATAGGACATCCCCTATTTGGCGCCTGTTGCCCCTAAAAAGAAATGGCGCCTGTTGCGTCCGTTAGAGCGCAATCGGTAAAGGGCGCACACCATCCACTTTGTTCGTTTTGAATAAGTTGGCGCACGTTTGCGAGCGGGAAGTTCCTGCAGGTTTTCTTAATTTTCTGGACTGGCTTGCTCCTGTTTTACTCTTTTTTACTTTTAAATTTTTTTAAAGCACAATGAATTAAATGATTTTTAAAAAACTGATGAAATCTTTTTCAAGTTTTGTGAACTTTCTAAAAATTAATGAAGTTTTTTTTTACAAATCTGGTAAACTTCTTTCTCAAATTTGTGAACTTTCAAGAAAACTATGAGTTTTTTTTTGAATTTCTTCTCAAAATTGACGAATTTGTTTCAGCATTGATGAAATTTTTCTAAAATAATTAATTTTTTCTTAAATTGATGAATGTTTATTCAAATAGCGAATGTTCTTAAAAAATGATGAAGTTTCTTTCCAAAGTCTCTGAACCTTTTTTTAATTTCCTTTATCTGAAAAAGGTTTTTTTTATAGAAGTCAACAATGAACCAGTCAATCCATGACTCAACAAATTGTTTTATTTTTTTAGGAACCACTGAACCACACAAAACGAGGGCCGGCCCATAAGAGATGACGTGTGGGTGCCCTTTCTCCTAACCAGCGCCGAAGACGTCGATAAGGAGTTTCCAGATGTTCTAGGTCTCGCGTGAAGCATGGCATAGGGGCGCCCAGCCAGGCGTACATCTCGCAATAAGCGACCTATAACCATGGCACCCGTCAATGTAGGTTCAAACGGCAAAATGTGGTATCATCCTTCAGACGAAATCACTAATTAAGGATCATCTTGCAAACGTCACTTTCACCTCCTCCGTCTGTGACAAGTGGCGCCACAAACTGTGCACCACTTGTCGCCACCTAGGAGTTTTCCCCTTTTTTTGATCCATTTATTTAAATAGTTTTATCTCTTAAAATCGTGCGTCTAAATCTTTAACCATTTTCACCATTGGATTCCTCGCGTCAAGATCTTCAAACTAGATCTGTTGATAGATTTTAACGAACTTTCTTCTTCATGAAAAAACCAAACCAGGAGCACTTTTTTCCTTTTCAAAAGAGGCACGACTGTGGCTCACACGGAAAGCAAATCCGTGCCTCCAGGAGAAGTAAACCCATGCCTCTCGCGGAAGGCAAAAAAACATTTTTTTCGCTTCCGAGAGGCATGGCCGTGGCTATCTCTCACGGAAGAAAAAAAAGAATACACTTTTTTTATAATTTTCCGAGAGGCATGGCCATGCCTCTCGCGGAAGGGAAACATAATATTTTTTTGCCCGTTTACGAGAGGCACGGCCATGCCGCTTGCGAAAGCAAAACTGTGCCTCTCGCGAAAGGAAAAAACACTTTTTTTGATTTTCGAGAGGCACGGCCATGCCTCTCGCGGAAGGAAAAAAATAAAAACACAATTTTTTCGTTTCCGAGATCGTGGAAGTAAATCCGTGCTTCTCGCAGAAGAAAAACCATTTCTCTCGCAAAAGGAAAAAGAAAAGGTTTTTTTGTTTTCCGAAATGCACGACCGTGCCTCTCGCGGATGCAAAAAAACCGTAGCTCCAGCAGAAGGAAAAAAAATATTTCTTTCACAATTTTTTTTGTTCAAACGCTAAGAAAGACCAGTGAAAAACCAAAAAGCCGAAAAAAACAAAAAAAATATATAAAAAACCGAAAACGCGTGCCTAAAACTAAAGAAACCAAAAGGAGCGCGCAGAGCGTGACACGTGGCGACGGCTAAGAGTGCGTCAAGTGACGCGCTCTCAACCCATTCCAAATGCCCCTTGGGATGCTTCCAAACGAATGCTTCTCAATTAGTTTTTTTAGGGGTATAACGATTCTTTATTCATGCAAGGTCAACAAAATCGTTACAATGTCATGTGGTTGAGGGAACCACGCATGCCTTCCAACATCTAATGACAAAGCAAATTTAGCAAAGCTATCAGCCTCAAAGTTTCGAGACCTTTTCTTGCACATGAAATCGCACTTCAAAAAATCTTGCTTGCTAGCACAAATTTTCTGGATAACAGCTGTATGTCTTTCACCCTTTTCTTTATTAGCTTGAATTCCTTACCACATGTGTCATATGGTTGCATGTCTCTCACCTTGGTTTGCCCTAATATCTTTTATTACGAGCGGCTCTCAGTTTGTTGCTCTCCTTCAGAAGACTAGGAAGGCCCCTGTATCTATGGGCTTAAAACTTGGTACAGGCCAACACGAATTAACGTCTGATTCTATAAAAACAAAAAACAAAACACGAATTGACGTCTCGTCGTCCTCCCTCGCACCCTGCGTGCGGTTACACCTTCTCCTTCGCGTACCAGACAGACACTCCCTGAGTTCCCCTGCCACTCGCGTCGCCGGCAGATATGCTAATATCTCCAGGACTCGCGGCACCGGCGGCGTCTCACCCGCCCCCTTTCCTCACCGCCGCCAGCCTCGGCGACCGCGCTACTCTAGGCGGCCTCGTTCAACCGGCCGCAACGACGTCGAAGACCGGCTGCTACATCCGCAGTCGCAGCCGCCCGCTGCTCCTCTCTGCGACCGCCGACGCCGCTTCTGTTGCGGGCAGCGTATCGACCAATGACACTCAGTGCCGCCTGGACAGCGACGAGCTCCGCAGGGTCTGCCAAGAGCCCGACCTCGAGGGAGCAGTCAACCTGCTCGACGAAATGCTTAACAGGAGAGGCGGCACCGGCGCGTCGGCCCAACTCGCGCCGGAAGAGCAGGCCGCGGTACTCCAGTGCTACGCCGACCCGCTGTCGCTGGCTTCTCTCAGACGAGGCCACCGCCTGCTCGCCAAGTCCACGTCCCGGTACTCCGGGATCGCCACGCCCATCTTGCACAGGATCGCCACGCTGTACTGCAAGCTCGGCGCCCCCATCGACGCGCGGCGCGTCCTCGAGGGAGCGTCGAGGCCGGCACCAGGAAAGCCCGCGGACGCGGAGCAGGCCAAGCGGAAGGAGGCGTACGAGAAGGTTCGTGAGCTGCACGAGCAAATACGCGCGGCGGGGTACGTGCCGGACACCCGCTTCGTGCTGCACGACATCGACGAGGCCGCCAAGGAGCGCGCGCTCATGTACCACAGCGAGCGCCTGGCCATCGCGTTCGGGCTGGTGAGCACGCCGCCCGGCACGCCGCTGCGGGTCATGAAGAACCTCCGCATCTGCGGGGACTGCCACAGCGCCGTCAAGCTCATCACCAAGGTGACCGGCCGCGAGATCATCGTCAGGGACAACAAGCGGTTCCACCATTTCAAGGACGGCGCCTGCTCCTGCGGGAATTACTGGTGAGACAGTCTCCACCACAACTGCCATTGACACCCATGGCTGTTCAAATGCTCAATGCCTCGATCAAGTCTCTAAATTTTGGCAAAGGGTTTTGGTTTTTGTATAAGGGAAGAGAGAACAATGAAGCAATTTGTTTAGCCAACATGTGACTTGATCAAACATGATGAGGGCCAGTTATAGATGACACATCGAACGATTGCACTGCTACAACGAAATCTGATTGATCAAACATGATGAAGCTCACAAGTCCTCCTAGGAAAACCCCTCGTATTTCCACAAATCGAAGCAAAGAATCAAGAGAACAAAACAAGGAAGCTGATGAAAGCTATCATGTGCAGTGGGGAGGGAGGAGGTATCAGGGGCTCTGCTCAATCCGTGCCCGGCGAGGCCGCGCCACCACGGACCGCGGCTGTGACTGGCACACCTGCGCCGGGAACTTGCATCCGAACCTCTTGGTCACCATTGATCCCCACCTGCCCTCCGCGGCCGGTGCCGCCGCTCCTCTGTCCCCAGCGGCGCCGCCGCCTCGGCGGTCTATCTTCTGGATGGCTTTCCTCATGGTGGTGCACTCGCGCTCGAGCTCTTGCACCCGGTTGCGCATGCTGTCCATGTCCAGCCTGAGCATTTGGTTCCCCCTCGTCGTCACCCGCCACGTCCGGCCGCCATCGCTGTCGCCTTCTTCCTCTCCTTGGCCCGCCGCACCGCCTTCATTCGCCACGATCGTCCGCGCGATGGCCCGGCGCAGCTGGAGCTGCTCGAAGAAGAGCACCTGCACCACCGTCCGCAGCGGCAGCCGTTCGTTCTGCGCCGCGTGCGTGCACGCCTCTAGCGTCAGCTTGCGCCCGTCCACCACGCCGCTCACCTTCTCCTTCTCCTCCTCCCTCAGCGCCGGATGTGCCTGCACAAAGAACGGCGGCGGCGGATTATGAGCACCGGCATTGCGCTGCAAGCATCGATCAAGATGGCATTCAGAATGTGTTCGGCAATACCTTGATGTAGATGTCGACGGCACGGTAAAGGCCGTCGTCGTAGACGCGGGCGCCGTCCGGCAATGCCCAGGCGAGGTCGCAGAACTTGTCCGTCTTCAGGTTGGCGTCCGTGGCGATCTCCCCCAGGTAGGCGTCCATCAGCCTGCCCACGGCCAGCATGGCTCGTCTGCTGGCCTCCCTGCCCGGCGTCTCCGCCTCGCTGCCCTCCTCGTCGACCTCCTCGACGCCGCCTCGGCCCTCGAGGAAGTGCCGCACGATGCGCTCCACGCAGTCCACGTCGTAGAGCGTCTCCACGAGGTACGAGTAGCTCGGGATGAGCAGGTCGTCGACGGCCGCGTCGGGTAGCCTGGAGGCCACGCGCCGCTCCAGCATGTCACGGGAAGCCTCTGATGCTTGGAGAATGTTTGCCGTGCGCAGGAGGCCGAACAGGACGCGAGCGGTGGTGGCGCCCACTGCCGTGCCGGTGTGGGCACTGCTCTTGATGGTCTCCTCGGGGAGGTTGACAATGACGGTCTCGAGAAGCGCTTTCTGGTCGCCATCCGCTGACCGGGGGGCGACAGCGGCGGCGGCGGCGCCACCTCCGGCGTGCCGGTCGGAGCGTGACAGCCCGGGGATGGACCGCTTGGCGTAGGCGATGAGAGCGCCCTCGAGGACCTCCGGGCCGACGCCCCGCTCCCTCATGGCCGCAATGACGCGGGTGAACGTGGCCAAGGACAAGCCGGCGAGGTCGTCGAACAGCGTGGACGTGGCCCCGGCGCCGGCACTTTTCTTGTGGCGGGTCCGGTCGCCGGCTCCCGCGTCGTTGATGGGCCAGCCGAAGAGCGCGGTGGGCGTCGACGCGGCGGCCTTGGCTGCGATGGCGTCCACGCAGCGGGACACGAGGCCGAGATCGTCGGCGAGGGGGAGGAGGTCCTCGCAGGACTTGAGCGCGCGGATGGCGTCCCTGGGGTTCCGGAGCACGGTGTGCGACATGAAGCGGTCGGCGCGAGAGACGAGGTTGTCCTCTGCGTGGTCGTCGGACATGCCGAGGCGCTCGGCGGCGCAGCGCAGCGGCGCGGCGGTGGCCGGCGTGAGGTCGAGCTTGACGCCGTAGCAGAACTTGGCGGCCAGCTCGAACGCCTCGGCGCCGCCGGGGAAGTCCGGGAGGCGGATGCGGTGCGCGTCGGCCTCCTCGTCCGCCTCCAGCACCACCTGCTCCTCCCTGATCTCCCCTGCCCCCTCATCCTCCCCCTCCTCCTCCCCTCCCCCGGCATGCCTCGCCAGGCTCGATTCCTTGTTCATAATCAGGTCGTGGATCTTCTTGCTCTTCGACATTAGCGGGAACTGCAAGCAAGGCATCAAACAAAACCTCAGCCGCCGGTCACTTCAATTTTAAGATCAAGAACCGCAGTAAAATTCCACGCTCGAGACAGAGCACAGCAGATACGAGCGAGATTGGCAGCAGACGGGGAGCAGGACAAACAAAAATGCGAGCTCCTGGAACTGTTGCTACCAGGACGAGGAATGGGGAAAAGCAACTAACCTTGTGGAGATGGAAGGTCATGTCGCCCACCTCGATCACGACGTCGCTGGGCAGCCCCGTGGTGCAGAACCTGCCGAGCACGAACACAAAAGAAAAGTTAAAGATCACGGGACGCCAAATGCAATCGCCCGGCGGAAGAGACAACAACGAGGATCAGTCGCTTGCCATGCTTGGCCCTTGGGGCTGTGCTGCGGCTGCGGCTGCTCCTCCCGGGCCACCTCCCTCTTGCCCTTGGCCTTCCTGCTCCCCTGCATCATCGCGACGATCCCCGCAGCCACTCTCTCTTCCAGCTAAGGCATTCGGGGAGTGACGGACGGATGCTCGGCTCGCGTGGAGAGAAGGAGCAGGAGAACGGGGAGCTCGCTCGCTCGCTCGGTCGGTCGGTCGCAATAATGGCGTGCCCCTAGTATTCCGGCGCCTGTATTAGGTGCGGAGTTAAATGATTCCGATTATAGGAGGGAGGAGGGAGACGGAGGCAGGATGGCGTTTTTGGTTTTTTTTGGGCGAGTGCCACCCTGCTCTGTTCGTTGCCTCAAAAGCACGTATCCTCCATCACCCCACCCCACCCCGCTTTGTGAATTTGTTTATTATTCAGCCAGCAGCAGGAGTGATCGCTTTCTCCTAAACTACGGTTTGAGCAGCCCCTCTCTGCGACTGCAAGACTGCCGTCCACTCTACTGACAGACAAAAAATACTCTTCTTTTTTCCGGTGTATCTCCATCAGGGTCGGTCGCGGCAAGAGTGAAGCTCACGTAGAGTGCTGGGCCGTTCACGTGTTCGGTATGCCCCGACCTGGCCCTCCCAACCACCTCACATAAAATTTAGCAGTTTCCAAACGCGTCGGTTTCCCGGGAATTCCGTAGAAACGCCAAGATTTTTACAGTGTAGAACTCAACAAGATTATTGGATAACTCATCGACAATTACTCCATTTGTAAACCAGCTCTAGGATGGTAGTGATCCAGGGACTGTCTGGATCACGCAACAAGCCAAAAAGCGGCAGTAGATTAACCCAACTGGGCGCGAGCCGGGCTGATCAAGCGCTAACAACGAGAGGAATGAAGGGAATCTGGCGGCACGAGACCAGGTAAAGACTGTTCTTTTCGTTGAGACCAACGTCCATGCCACCATTACCATATGATCCAGCCATCTTTCCCTGTCAGACAGGTCAAGCGACCAAGAACACTGCAGCCTGCGGGTTTTTGAACTTTGAACTCGGCGCCGCTGCTGCTGCGTGCGTTGGGAAAATATTTGAACCGCCGAGGGGAGGGACATCATCGCCTGCCCTGGCCGGGCGGTGATAAATGGGGAGGCGTGATCCGGCCATGAATGCCGGAGGCGCTGGCGTACCCGCCATTTATTGCGTAGAGGGAGGGAGAGATATACAGAGAAAGGTGCAGGTTTACAGTGGTAGATAGATCACGACGTAGTGACCGGCCCAGGTACCCGGCGAGCCGGCAGCTCCCTCGCCGCACCGCCTGCAAAAGGAGGCTTCGGTGTCACTGGTCACCCGCACTCGTGCCGGTGGGGGTGTGTCAGTCTGCCTCTGCCCGGTGCGTGGTGGGCGTGCCTGCGTCGTGTGCCGGAGGTTGATGGGCCTGGGCACCTGGCAGTGCGCCATGGCGTGGCGTGGTATGGGGCATGGAGACAGCGCACGAAAAGGCACAAACAAAGCTACAGTCACTACCTTAACTTGGTTCTTTAGAGCGACTCAAACTGTCCTGTCTCCCTTTCGGTTGAAACAGACACGAAAATCGGTCCAACGCACCGACGTAAATTGAACCAACGTTCGCTTTTTGCCTGCGCGACCCATTCCAGGTCTAAATTTGGGCCGCGTTTGTTTCAGCACGGACACGCAGCGGACGGGTGCGACGCATGCCCTTGTACTTTCCCTGGCCTGTCAGTCGGTGGCACAGTGGCCACCCCCCCCCCCTTCCCCTTGACAGACAGCGCACCAAGCCGACCCCCTCGCCACCGGCTCCCAGGCCAGCCGCCCGCACCCAGATACCTTCCTCAGCAACACGCCACCCATCGACGGCCCCATACTACAACATTGCTGCACTGTTTTCGCCGCCGTCGCAACACTCCAACATCGACGACACCCCCTCTGCCTCCGATGTCGGCAGCACCGCCTTGCGCTTTTACCTCGCTCGTCGTACGCCTCCACGCGGACAGGCCTGCTACCTGGTCTCGGAGAGGCGCGAGGCTCTTCACCGGCCGGCTCCTTCCACCACGCCCGCAAGGTGTTCGACAGTTCGTCCGCAAGGTACAAATGGAGTCTGACGACGGGTACTTTTTCAACAATTTCATTTGCGATTCGAATGATTCGAACTGGTGATTGTGGTTGCTGTTTTGATCGTCCATGACCACACTAGTAGGCGGTGACCGATGTTTAGGGGCTCGATCCAGGGGCATACTCCGGCGTTGAATCACAACAGAGAGATTGGCCATTGCCTACTCTAGTAGGAGTAATTCGAGTCCCCTAACCCGCTC